TTAACTTTCCTTTAAAGAATGTCAATAAAATAACTTAATGGGTAAGTGTTCTTGGACTTATGAACCCTAATGTACATAAATAGTTTCTGCTGACATGAATGTGAGTCAGTGCCATCTTATATTCTCTCCTTCATTATTAAATAGAGTATGTCCACCAGCTGCTCTCAAGTTTCCCTTTCACTCATCAGTCAAGCATGCTGATCTAAAGTTACTGCTTTGTTTAATTCATTGTGCTGACTTTATGCTAGTCTGTTAATGCAATAATGAATAAACAACCATTTTTTATAATCCATCATACATTATCATTTTGAAGGCAATCCACTTACTCTTATTGAGGAGTGCTTTGTTTTAACACCTAAAACACTGCCAAGTAAATACTTACAGTGTATCCTTGTTCCATAGTAGCACATTATGAGGGAAACACTGTGCTATTTTACACTGTGAGTACTTCATAAGTGCCCACCACAAAAGCAGTCAGTTGTTGTAGTAGTGTTTAAATTTTACTGATGGGACAGTCAGAGATCAGACTCCAGGACCTTGCTTGTCTTTGGAGACATGTTATGTGAGTCTGCTGGTTGTTGTACATAAGAACAGAACATGTCCTCGGGTCTTTACCCTCATTCAGACAGAAGAGCAAAACAAACACTGAAAGGTTATGTGTAAGACAATACATTTCTGACTGTATGGGTTTCCATGTGACATTTACATGGAACATAAAACACGTGGTCTGACCATGTCATGACATTATATTACACATTAATACTAAACCCTTTGATTTTAGTATTAATATTTATTACAAAAAATGCAATTCTCTCAATGAATCACAGATAAAAATATGGATTATAGATTATATTCCAGGGTGGAGTGTAAATGAGATATGCAGAGGACAGCAACTGGATGACTGGATGTTTAAATCATCAAATATGAACTTACAAAGTGGATGCTTAGTACTTTTGGAGTGCCCTTCGGCAATCTACATGATCTAGGTATGAATGTGTGGAACAGTGAAAATGTATTGTAATGTACTGTGTGGTTTGTTTCCCTAACCGCTTTTTTCAGTGCCATTGCATCATCTGCCAGCCATTCAAATTCATAAGATTTCATCATTCTTCTCTCTTCATGACAGTGAAGTACAACAGTGCCAGGTTAGGTTTAGACTACAGTATGTGTGGGAAGAACAATTCATGAATGAGTGTGGTGGGCCAGGGCATCTAGTAACAGAGACACTTCTGCTGGGAGGATCACCCAGTACAAATAAAGCCAGCATGTATTCTGGCCTCCATTCAGAGCAGGGGAGGATCAGTGGACACAAACCCCAGACAGAGACACAGACACCCTGCCCCGCATCACTGGGCATGGCCCAATGCTCTCTGCAGCAAAAGCCTCTATTGTTTCAAGAATTTTAGGTTGGTTTCACCACCGTCATTACCACTCCACTCTGACAGATCTAGGTTTTTATGCTCAAAACTTCCCAATTACTTGTCCTTCAGCAGGCCATGGCTCATAGTTATTCAGAGAGTTTGCTGTTAGCTTGAACAAAGCAATTCTCAAAGTCAGCTGAGTAATATATCACACCACATACATTAGAAATGTACATGTTGAGGACAACTGGAATACTTCACATACTACACTTGGAACCATTTATTCCACTGTTAATCTGAATTGCACATAACAGGTGTATCTTCCTGTATGTTTGTTTTGGCCCTGCATGTAGCCTAACTATACTGAGAGCTACTGCTTTCAACCAGAGTCATATATATTCCTTGCATATGTGATCACACAGTACTTGACCAACAAACTTGATTAATATGATAAATAATAATCACAAAAAAGTATCTACACTAAACTGCCTTATTCCAAAAGAAAGAAGACACTGTGATTTGAAATCTTTACAATCCATACAAGACATACAGATTTGTCAAGCTCCATGTTATGACATGTTTTGACTGTGGTTGATAATTACTGATTGTAGAGCACATCAGCAGGAATCTTTAAATTGTTTCTTTGTTTGTCAACTTTCTTGGGAACTTTCATCTTCTTTCAAAAGAAGATGATTATCTGTTTGGCAGACAGCAATGATAAGGTTTGATTTTGTTGTTACTAATTTAGCTCATGCTAACCATATTACATTACATTCATTCAACAGATTTTTTTTTCCTCCAGAGTGATTTATGGTAGCAGTTTGGAGTTAAGGGACATGTAGAAAGGACGAGCTGCCTGGCAGCGAACTGTCAACCCAAAATTAAGAGCCAACTTGCCTTCCACCTGAGTTACAGCCTCCTCTTGCTGCTCAGTTCTTCTGGAATTAAATTAGAAGCAAACATTGTATAGCACATGCGCAATCAGTATGTTTTTCAACTATAGTTAGCATAAAGTTTTTATTTCTTCACATAGAAACACAGTGGATTATTATTTCCAGTCAGAAAGGGAGCAGAGTATTTACAAAATGAATGCAGAGTCCAGTGTATAAATTGTTCATTATTGCTGGGGCGGCGGCACAATAGTGCTGTGTGTTTTTTTGTTGTGGAGTGCCAGTGTGATTTAAAGCTGCTGACCGCACCAGACGCTTACACTGCACTAGGCTCCTGCTGTCTCTCGTCCTCTATCATTTGTATCGATGGACATAGCCTGTCTGCTTGCCTGACAGTCAATCTCTTCCTCTCTTCTCTCTCTTCTCACTCCTCCACCTCCCTCACTAACCACTGCTCTGTCCTCCGTCTCTCTTAGTTACCTCAACTCCTCCTCTCTCTATTTCTAGCATTTCCCTCCCTGCTTCTCTTCCACCCAAGGCTTTCACAAATATTCTTAGGATTTATATTTTTCCCAAAGCCTAAAACTGACAAACTCAGCAAAATGTCTCATATTTGTACATTAACTACCCAAAGGAAAGATTGGTCAACAATCTTAAATGCAACATTAAGCCATTTTCAGACATTTTGCAGATTGTTTCACCCTTTTGCAAAAGCCACATATGTCTCAAATAAACACAGCCATACAGAGAGCTCCAGGTGCACTTGCATTAAAGCATCTGTGTATTTAGTCAAATACCAACTGGGGTGGATTAAGCCAAAATTATAAAGATAAATGAAGTGTATTATGATGGTCAGGCTGGACATCTATGATATAAACCTGGAAATATTGATGTATTGGCTAAATATTTAGTACATTAAAGATTATAGACCCCAAAATAAGGCCTGAATTTTCAACTTTAGGATGTTCAAACATCTTCATGGGGGTGACTCTTTTCTGAAGAACCAGCTGTCTTGCCTCCTGCTATACTGAGAGACAATTCAGTTTAGTTTACTTTAGCTTACTTTAGTGATGAAAATAACTTTTGAGTGTTTTACCTGTTTATAACTTAAACCACTTTACTGGTCTCAGACTTTTGGAGCCCAGTCTAGCCTACTGTATATTTGCTGTACCAACAAGTCCAGCATTCATCTGTGCCATTGCAGTGAAGCACTTTGTCCTATCTATCGGGCTATTGTTTATTTATTATTAACTTTTTTATTATTACTATTATTATTATTATTATTACTATTATAATCAACAGTGAGCTAATGGACACATTCATTTCCCCTGGGGGATAAATAAAGTATCTATCTATCTATCTATCTATCTATCTATCTAGAGAAGAGAAGAGGAGAGAAGAGAAGAGAAGAGAAGAGAACAGAAGAGAACAGAAGAGAAGAGAAAATATTAATTGAAAGGGGTTAGAATTACAACAGGGTCTTTATATCCACACACGAACAGAAGAGACCAGAACACAGAAAATGGAGATATCTATCTATCTATCTATCTATCTATCTATCTATCTATCTATCTAGAGAAGAGAAGAGGAGAGAAGAGAAGAGAAGAGAAGAGAACAGAAGAGAACAGAAGAGAAGAGAAAATATTAATTGAAAGGGGTTAGAATTACAACAGGGTCTTTATATCCACACACGAACAGAAGAGACCAGAACACAGAAAATGGAGATGCTTGACTAGTTTAACCCGAGAGTTCATTGACCTACAGTGGCAACATTACAGACCAACAAATGTGTACATTTCTCTCAGCGTCTCTCTCTCAAACACACCAGAGAGACACAGAGAGAGAGAGAGAGAGAGAGAGAGAGGCCCCAAACAGTACCTGTGTGTAGAAAAATCCTTCAGTGTAGTTAACACCTGTGTCTGCAGAGAGATCTAGCAGCTCTCCGCCCACCTTTGTTTCAGAAACGTTGTTGTGATGTTGATGTTTTGCTCAACCAACAACAAATGTTTACAGCCTAGATGATATTTGTTCTACTTTTCATTGGGTGATATTATATTATTCTACATTATCTTCCGGGATTAGTCCACATCCCTAGATTATTAGTTTATACTTTATGTAGAATTGCCATTTCGGGTGGTTTAATTATTTCTTCTGCTATATTACTGTATTGTTAACATGCAAATGGATTTAAATGCTACAGATTGGTCAGGACGTAATTTATTTTATCTGCTTTATTATGTCATTTGGTAGTTAAATCTGTCACAATGCACCATACTCTGTAAATTATGCAAAATTTAAATTTTACTATATCTCATTTTAATCTATATCTTGCCCTATCTCCATGTTTCCTTGAGTTGAATAGGAAAAAACACATCATCTATTGTTATCTATGTCCCAGAACTGGTTTGAGGGAGCGCCCTTTACTCGGCACTTTCCGGCACCTTTCGTTGGTGTTGATGTTGGGCTCGTCGCCGCCTCTCCCAGACTGCTTTATGTCTGGCAGCAGAGACCATGCGCGGTCGCCATATTACGGAGCACCCCTCCCCTCCAGTCCCGTCACAGCACAGAGCCACAGCAGCGGTGCAGGAGGCTACATACTGAACAACGCTACCGCTGGGGAGGACCAGTGATACAGCAAAACCAACACCAAAACGAGGATTCAGTGGAATGGATTAAACCTTTGGCCGCCTCTATACAGTGATCGTATTGGCTTTTACACCACTGTGCACCGGATGAAAGGTTGCGTGTTTTCATTTTCTTTCCTTTGAACAAATCTAGCAGTTAAAACGACTCACCACAGTCTATGTTTAGCTAGCCGGTGATGGAGACTGGCAGCTAGCTAGCTGACGTTACTCCTCTGTCAGGCTAGCATTTAATATAACGCTAACTTACTCAGCAGCTATTCTGCTTTCACGGCGTGTGTTCATTACAATATAGCTTCTCATTAGAAAATCCACAAAATGTTAGCTTGTGTTTAGCAAATTCACAGACGGATAACAGTGGGAGTTAGCCGGCGAATTACAACTGGCATCAGCTGACGTTAGCTTGCTAGCTACTCAGCGAGCGGCCACTAGCTTCTTCTGCCTCGTTGTCACTGGAGAGCACCGAATCGTATATGAGAGGCTGTAAATATTGGCACAACTTTGCCTGATATTTGAAAACAGCCACCCGACGCTTAGTACTTATATTTATTTTTGATCTTGTTGTCTGTTGACCGTAGTTTTGTCAAAACGGCGCCGTTAACGAACTGCAACCTTATTGCATACTGTCAGAGACCAACTACCCCCCGGATTCTCTCGAAATGCATCATCCGGACCCTGCAGGAGACTCTGGCAGTGTTAGAAAGATGGCGCACCCGGCTGTCTTTCACAGAAGGGGTAGCAACACAGGCAGCGGGAGCGGCTCCACGCTGTCAACACCTGCAAACCCGGTGGTCAATAACAGCCACGTCTCAGCCGATGATTATCAACCCTCCCTGTTGATTCAGTGCCAACCTCCTGCTGGTTCATCCTCCCCGGGTCCCCATCATCCGCCTCCCCACAGCCTGAATCTGCATTCCCAGCCCCAGCCCGCACAATCGGCCGGAGCTCAGATGAAAAAGAAGAGTGGTTTCCAGATCACAAGTGTGACTCCAGCACAAATATCTGTGAGTACCAACAACAGTATTGCAGAGGACACAGAGAGCTACGATGACCTGGATGAGTCCCACACAGAGGATCTGTCTTCTTCTGAAATCCTGGACGTGTCCCTCTCCCGAGCTAATGACATAGTTGGAGGAGAGAGAAGCTCTTCAGAGGAGACACTGAATAATTTCCATGAGGCAGAGACCCCTGGGGCTGTCTCCCCCAACCAGCCTTCGCACCCCCATGCACTGAACCAGGCTCAACAGCATGGTGGGGCCATGGTGAACGGGACTGTGCACCATCACCATCAACACCCTCATCATCCTAACCATGCGCAGGTCTACTCTCTGTCCTCTGGGCCTGGGAGCATCCACTCTGCCCTCACTCCTGGAGCGTTATCTTGTGTCACCCAGAAAATGCCTTCTAATATGGGGGGCCCTCAAGAGAATGTTTCCCAGACTGCCCCTCCAAATATTGTTGCTCAGCCTGTGGGGGTTGTGGCCTTGGGATCTGTCCCTGGAATGCACAGCTCTGTTACAGGCACTACAGTTAGCATAGTTAATCCCCAGACCAGCAGCGTTAGTAATGTGAATATGTTGAGCTCTGCCAACGTGCCTGTGAGAGGGGGGATCAGCACAAGTGCTAGCAGTAGCAGTGGTGGTTTTCCTCTCAATGTGATAAGCAGCAGCGGGGGGAGCGGAGGTGGCGCTGTTGCAGCCGGGGGCAGCCTTATGAACACCACTAAAATTGGCATGATCCAGCAACACCAAAACATCAGCTCCAACATCACTATGACTACTACAACTTCTGCTGCTGTTGCTGCTGCTGCTGCTGTCAGTGCCTCTGGAATGGGACTCTCCAGTGGGATCCAGGGAAGAGTTGGATCTGCTGTGCTGCAGCCTGTGAGTGCCCCTGTCACAGCCATGGCCACAACCTCTGTATCATCTACTCCTGCCCCAGCTCCAGCCCCTGCCGTGGCTACCACCAGTTCTCGCTTCAGGGTGGTGAAGCTGGACTCTAGCTCTGAGCCCTTCAAGAAGGGCAGATGGACATGTACTGAATTCTATGACAAAGAAACCCCAGCCTCTGTTCCCAGTTCCTCTGCATCTGATGCTGGATCTCTCAGCATGCGTCAGTATGTCTCTGAGAGTTTTGCTGGGGCTTCAGAGAGGGAAAGCACAAGTGGTAGTTCTGTGAGTAGCACTATGAGTACACTGAGCCATTATACTGAGAGTGTGTGCAGTGGAGAGGCTGGGGGACCCCCAGTACCCCAGCATGTCCAGGATTATGCCTCCCCGCCTCAGGGTTTTCAAGGAATCCTCCCCAGTGGCTTAAGCATGGGAGTGTCCCTAACCCAACCTCACATGCACGCCCAGGATCTTACCCATTCACATGTGAAGACTACTGTGGCCCCCTTGGCTCCTACAAACATTCATCAGCCTGCTCCCATGCCAGGCCACCAGACTACCATTGGACTCCCTACACCTTCTATACCCCAGCAGCAGCTCACCTATGCCCAGGCAGTTGCTAATCAACCTCCAGGCTCCACGCAGGGCCTAGTAGGTGTTCATCAGCAGAAGATAGGCTATGCCCCCCTGCCACAGCAGCCAGCTGCTGCCCCCCAAGCAGCCCCAGTGCAAGTGAGGCCACCTGAGTACACCCAGCCACACCAAGGTATCCCCCAAGCTGCTGCTTCTCAATCTCTGTCCAACCAAGGTGGATCGGCTAATGGATCGTGTCAGATGATAGGAGGCCCTCAACAGTCACAGGCACTCCTCCACACACAACCCCAGCAGCCCTCCTCCCTTCAGGCCACCACCTCTACTATGCCCTCGCATATTGGAGTAGCAGGCCTTGGCCAGCAGCCTCAGAGCCCCCCTGGCCATCTGGATTGTCAGCAGCAGAAGCCACAGTCACTCCCTACACAAATCCAAACCCCGGGCCTGGGTGCCCAGCTGCCCAATACAGTCCACCAGAGCCAAGTGTCTGCACCGAGTGTGCCTCCTACCAATCCTCAGAGTGATCCCCAGGCCCAACCCCAGCCCCAAGCCCACAACACTGGGAATAGTGGTAGGATGCCCGCACAGGTTGTTCCCCACAGCCAGCCGTCATCTGCCAGCTTGTCCCAGGAGCACAGCAGTGCCCAGGCCCTCGCTCATGCTGCCCAGGCCAGTGCCCTGTATGCTAGTCTGCCCACTTTCACCACCACTCAGCTGCAGGATGCCCAGCGGTTGCTTCTCCAGCACCAGTCGGCTCTGTTGGGGCTGCCCAAGTTGTCCGGAGGGGAGGCTGGATCTGGATCCAGCACTGGCCAGGGTCAAGAAGCTGAGGGCAATACCACCACCACCAGTGCCTTAACTGCATCAGCTGGTCTTAAGTCTGTTGATGGAGAGGAGGATGGGTAAGAGCTCTTATTTCCTTACTCTTTTTGTTCATATTTATTTGATAGGCTGCAACCAAATTTATGACATTTGCATGAGTCTCAGCACAGGTACATGTGATGAAAATCTCTCCACTAGTGTGGAATCAAAGTATATTAGTGAGAGATGCATGCTGTTAAATGGGTGTTTGTTGCTTTACTCAGTATTCAGAGTCTGTTTGAAGCTGGAGGATTTCACTGGTTGCTGTGGCAGCTGCGAGGGAAGAAAAGTGTTATTGTTTTCCTAGATAGCCAGCAGACAGTGGCCAGGCTGCCACAGTCTGTCTCTCCTCTGTCAGTGGGACACAGTGCAGGGCTCAGCTGCATGTGACGTCTCTCTTCTTTATCAAGGGGCTGCAGTGATTCAACATTTTACCTAGCCTGCCTGCCTTTCCTGAATCCTGACTGTCTTCTTTAAAGTGCACAATTTCTGCTGGATGCGCAGTTCGCTGTACTCACTCTCAGCACCTTTGTTGTTGAAAAGCAGGATACATGATGGAGGTTATGTGATTATTTAATTAGAGATAGAAAAAGGCAAGCAGCTGTAAATGTGATAGAAATGAAATCTGTTGTCTAATTCCACAGATGAAATAAAACATTACAGCTAATGTTTAATTGTATTTTACACTCCATCTTGCAAAGAAAGTCTTAAAAGTACTCCTTCTGCCTTTCGATGAACTCATGAGGTCGAGATGGTGGTTTACTTGTTGACATGAACAGTACAGTGCAGTAGTCCTTTCCCTTCACTAAAAGCTTATTGATTTTATTAAGTGCTCTCTTTCGCTCTCTCTCTTTATCCTCCATCTCTTTTTTTCTCCATCTCTTTGTCAATCCTCTCCTGTCACTACAGTTTGCTAGTGATTTATTCTATGACCCAAATGAAAATCCCAAGGAATGTTCTCCCAATAATAAGTTTTAAGAGCTCATTTTGAGGTTAGACAGGAATTTTAATCACATTGCAGCAGCAGGAAATTGCTCACCTTTCAGTCACTCCTAACAATCCTAAGCCTTTTTTCCTGACTTCTGAAAATGTTTCAATTACCTTTTTATTAGCTTTTAGGATATTTATAATAAAAGGGTAGGGAGGAGGAACCAAAAGAAGTTGATTACTAGAAATGTAGAAGGTAACATGGTAGTTTTGTTTCAGTTTGTCTCTATGGGTCAGTTAGATGGATACTAAAGGATGGTGACTTTTATCACATGATGTTTAACTCTGAGGAATGTGAAATCTATGTGGGATCAGGTGGATTATTGTCTTTGATGATAAGCAGTATTTGGGTGAAACCAAAGCCCTTCTTACAAATGAGAAGAATGTCTTGGTGAATTATGCTCACGGTTCAGTTCTGTCTAGTTTACCTGCTGTCACTTGAGTGCAAGTAGCTGATAGATCCTGCTGAAGTCTGGGCCTCCCTACTGAGTGGTGGCTGCAACCAAAACTTGCTATTTGTCTGCCCCTCTTAGTCAGTGGACCTTCATCAACAAAAAAACCAACAACGATGAAAGCAAGTTTTTTTTTTTATCCCCTGAGTCCTTCGATATCCTTTCATATCTCAAATCTGCTGATACTGAGCTGAATTTGTTTGACTAATTTGCTATGAAGCACTGTCAAGTCACTTTACTCAATTTCCTTGTGATAAATGACACAGTTGCATTAAAATAAAATAAAAACTAAATCTAATGGATTCAGTTATTTTCCACAAAAACCTGTGCTCAACACTAGTAACAACATAATGACCATTCAAAGACCTTTTTGACAGCTGATCCCTGTGACTGATTTGTGACTGTGTATTCATGAGTTAACTAAATTTCTTTAAGTTGAGCTTTGTTTAAAAGCTTGCAGCAGATTAAAAAGACCATATATATTAATGGGACAATGTTATGCATTTTAATTGTAGACTAGCATGGGTGAGTCCTTTAGGAAAATACGGGGGGAGTAGCATAATGATTGAAAATACAGGGAGTGGTTCCAGTATCAAGAATATTTCGCTTAACAAAATGTAATTATCAACTTATGTTACTATTGTGTGAACTTTGAAATGTTACCGTTATGTTGAGGTTGTTTTAGAAGTTTTGATTCAACTCTATTTTTTTGTTTCAGTCACTGTTGTTGATTTGAGTTTGAAAGTGAGAGAGAAACTAAACCAGGACCAAACTAAAACACAGGGTGAAGTTGTATCTGTCTACAAAGCTTAAATTTCGACTTTCGTGTGCATTTTTATTTTCAGTTTGCATTTATTTGAACAACAGATATCAAATTATTACCCTAATCTCACTGTGGCAACATAGGGGGGTTGGATATTGATTACTGTGCCTTTGCTGCTACAATTGATGGTCATTTTCTTTGCAAAGAGGTAATAAAGTATTAGTGATTGCACCTTTTTGAAATCACTTTAATGGAAGCAGTGCTAAGACCTGGGTCCTTTTTCTTATGTACTAATTGCAGAGGAGCCATAAAAGCTGACTTGTTCTTTGTCTGGTAGGAATTTATTTACAAGACCCTGTGGTCAGCTGTGTGGCTCCTGTCAACTTACAGTATTTTCAGGTTTTAATGAGTAGGATGGCCCTGCCCTAATAAATCACCTCTGAAGTGTGTGTGTGTGTGTGTGTGTGTGTGTGTGTGTGTGTGTGTGTGTGTGTGTGTGTGTGTGTGTGTGTGTGTGTGTGTGTGTGTGTGTGACACACACAGTGTTTGAATGAGGCAGGATGTCAACTGTGCATTTGCTCTTTTTTCACTGATAGGTCATTAATATGTTCAAGGTGGCTGGGTGGTCTGTATGTGTGTGACCAGGCTGCTGCTGATTGACTGTTTTGGGTTATAGGCCATTAATGGTTAACAATAATTAGGAAACAGTACCAAATGTTTAATAGAATGAGGAAAATGTAACTAATGTGAGAGCAGGTATTCTAACGTGGTCATTTGCAGGTTTCCACACGTATGACTCTTGTATATGAGGATGTGGCTTTGTGCAGTTAGACTGTGTGCATGTTTCTCTTTGTGTGTGTGTGCTGTTGTCCTGTAGTTTAGTTCTTGTTTCAAACCTTCAGACTGAAGACAGTCTTGTGACGAGAGGTAATACAGACTATTTGGCAAAACTGGCTTAGTTCAGTCGTAACTTGGTGTCGAAGATAAGGTAGTGCAAACATAATTTTTAAGTTTGTAATTTGTATTTCTGTTAATTTTGTTCATTATCATGTAGTGTTGGTGGAGTGTTGTGGTGAGATTTGGCTGTGAACTCATTTCAGATATAATATTCAAAGTATGAAGTTTAACTGTTTGTTAAGTTAAACCTCAGGGTTTTTTGCAAAAAGGAAATTGGTGAAACAATGTTTTTCATAAGCAGCCATTGAAGATTTGAGACTTTGTTCCACAATTAAGTACGTTAAGTACTTTCAGTTTTGTTTTCTGAAAGTTGTTTTAATATTTTTTGTTCTAATTGTTATCCTGGTGTAGTTTCTGTGTTAGGAATAACAAGATAAGATGCCATCTCTTTTGGGTCATCTTGCCTTCGAAGGCTTCTTCTTAATATAAAATGACACATTGACAAATGGTTATTCTTGCTTTAAATGAAGAGGTACAGTTTCACATGATTCCACTCAAGCTTTTGTTTGTGGTTACAATCTGTCACGTGCAAAGATGGGGAATATTACCACTAAATATTGGCTGTTGGCTTATATGAGTATGCGCCAGACAAGCAGATATGTGCTTCTTTTTTCCCACTTGGCTCAGAAGTCAACAATATTCGACACCAGCAGTGTGTTGAATAGTAGAAGTAGAAGTGGGTGTTCAGGCACCCCTGTGTTTTAAAAAAAAAAACAAAAAAAAAAACACAAGGGCTGCGTTGGTGTGTTGGTGTGTCTTCTGTAGCTACCATGAATGCACCGCCCAGCGCGGTGCCAATGACTTGACATTGTATTGTGGCACAACTTGAGCGAGGTACAACTTCTTTGATAAACAAACGTGCACCTTATTTCCAAAGTCCCTTCTGTGCCAACCCAGTGGGTTCATCGAAATGAATGAGGACGCTGCGTTTTTTTGTAGTGCAGAGCTATTGTTGGTCTGAACAGTTTAAGTGTGTGTGTGTGTTTGAATGTGTGAAGGCTTAGGGGAATGTGGGCTGGCTGGCAGTGTGATGGCTATCTCTGTGGCTATCTGTTTTGAATGTAATCTTCCCCCTGGCAGCACAGGGAGCCAGTTTGTGCTGGGCCTGTTGCTCATTGTGTGGAGATCAACCAGATCCCCAAAATTCACTACACACAGAGGAAGTGACCCAAGCTGACCCAACCCAATTTAGTCAGATCTGTTGAAGCTGGTTGAGACCACTGAGGATCCAGCAGACTGGATGAGATGGAACCAGACTGAGCAGAGTTGTGCATCACTGTTCCAGCTCTGATAAATCCTGCCATTGTGTTGCTCTTTAGTTTCCTTCATCAGTGTCTGTCTGCTGTGTGGAAGAGCACTGGCTTGATGAAGTTTATACTATAAACTGTGGCCGACCTGGTGTCCAGATGTTCCTGTCTGTTGTTCTACAGTCAGTCTTAGATAAAAGAGATATTCTAAACATTGAGCAAATCTTGGACTGTTTGTCCTTTCAGGCCAAATTGTCTTTAATGGCTGTACCCACAGTGGGGTGAGTTCAGGGGCAAACTGTACTGGGCTGAACCCGAACACATCTTGGCTTTTTCCTCTTCAGCTACACAGGTATCATGATGTAACATAGATGTTTTTGTTGTAATATATCGTGAGATGCAGAATTATCTGTTGTGTAATACTATTGTAACTGTACACTGAATAGTTTGTATTTTTAGTATAAAATGTTCACCCCCTGCTTGCATCCTTTTGATGAATTCAGTGTTGGTCATTGTAATAGTAAAACAGCTATTCTGTCTAAGAGTATTTGAAGTTCTTAATGTTCAGTAGAACAATGTTTAGAACTGCAGAGATTAGTCGATGAATTGATTAGTCAAATGTCAGAAAATTAACT